TTAGTAAATATTATAAATCAAAAGTTTGTATGAGTTAATTTTATTTCATATTATGTCATGTGATCTACATAAAAATTGTTAGTATCAATTTATCTTCACAGTTATGAAATAATAAAAAAGATTGAGTCGCATTACATATAACATGGTCAGACAGTAGGGATCCCCTGAGATTTGACCCATTTTGGCTATTTTGTTTGAGTTGGGATACCCATACAACATTAGCCAGCCATCTCTGAGCCGCCAAGCTCAATAACGGAAAACGGCTCATCCTAATTCACTCCTCAAGAACCTAAGTTTTTGTTTTTTTTTTTTTTCTGTTTAGCCCAAACTTAAAAAGATTTCGTGTTTAAAAAAATACGTTAAAAAATTATAAAATTTATAATTAATTTATTAAAATAAATGTACTTATATCAATTAAACGTTTAAGATTAACAAAAGCGTCAAACATAAATCCAAGAAAGGTATTTTAACATTGTGGCAAAAGCTTGTTTACGGGTTAGATCCAGAAGAACGTGATTTTGTGGTTGGACTACTCTGACAAGAGACCTAAACAAAACGCAGTCCAGTTGCCATTATTTTCTCCAACATGAGTGTACTCTCATAATCAGGCGCTCGTGAGTTTAACAAAAGACACAACATCAAGCTCCTCTATGGGTACGACAAATCTCACTCCATTTGTCGTTTATGACTAACCAAATCTAGTTATGGGCTAAGCACGTACCTAATTTGTCCATTTCATTATTTTCATCAGCTAAATTATTTTTAATTTGTGTCAAATCTCTACTTTAAACATTTCCATGTGGTCTCACGCTTTTTAAACCTTTTTCAATTAATTTTTTCTTTAAGATATTGAGAATGAATTGGTGGTGAATTTTCGGAGCGATTTGTCAATGTTTTTAACCAGGATTGCCTCAATCAACCAATAGAAATGTTGGTTTATCATTAGTTAGTTTAACTGTAGTTAAATTGATGTTAAATTAATAGCACTTGGTACACTATAAATTGGGTTACTATTATTATTGTTGTTGTACATTTGTATAACTCTATGACAAATTTATATATTTTTAACATTTTTAAATTAAAATACTAAAAGTATCTGAATCAGATTATAGTTTATGTTTGTGGATTTTTTCAATTAAAAAAAATCAATTAGTCTGAACCTTTTTTATTAGAATTAAACCAAACCCATCTGTGAACACCTTTAAATTAATCTGTATAACAATACATAAACTATATCACCTTTTAGATATGCATGAGGGATAAGAACCAAAACTTCTAACAATTACGTACACTCACCAATTACAAAGGTGATCCTCTCAGTGCTAGAACAAATACTCAAACCCTCGTCAAAAGATATCTTCCAATTGGGAAATCAATTGCTGGGAACTAACTAAGCTCTGAAGGGTAAACTCTGACGCCAAAGAATTTCAAAGCTAATCCCTTTCCATATGAACTAAAACCGAAGAACACAAGCTGAAAAGGGTTGTGGTCCCCCTCCCCTCAAGAATCCTCCACTACTAATGAACCCAAAATTTAATATCCTGGAATTATTCCATCAATATTCAGATTCTAGACATCATGTGTAAAATGTGAAGAGATTCTTGAGTAGATCCACATGTAAAGTAATTTTATCCTTTTTATTTTACTTCTTTTGGGGTACATTGTTGCACTGTATCACTCTTATGTCGCATTAATTTTGTCTAGTGTCAACCATTACTATTTTTTAATTTAAACAAAAACTTGATAGTTTTTTTTCAAAAAAAGATCAGCATCCTACACGAGCACTTGAATGCAATTCAAGAAAATAGTTTTTACTCTAATAGATGGAAACCAAAAAGAAAGGAAAAAAGAACTCGATCAAATCAAACAGGTTAATTTGCTAAAACTACCTAATGTCATTATTGGCTCAGTTAATCTGTGTTTACAAACATGTTAAAAGTTTTATATATATCAGAAATCAGATAATTAATTTGAATTAGATGTAGAAGAGAGAGGAAGACAAAATTTTACACTGACTACAGTATTTATATAGTAATACAGTGAACTCTAATAACCGACAATATGTTACAATCGAACCTGAAACTAAGTCACGGCTGTTACAGCTGTTTAACAGTAAAAGATACTATGCTAAGCTATCACAATACAACTTGAAACATAAATACAAGAAGTTATGATTAATAACGTTAAAATAAAAATTTGAATAATTGTGAGGAGATGCAGGGAGCATGTATGTGCTCTGCCACAACGCTACATAACTTGGTGTAAACTGTAAAGTAACCTGCACATAAAAAAGGCAACGAAAAATATGAGATAGAACACAAAGGAAAAACTGAAAACCCAACAAAGAAAGTGACATAAAGGAGCAGAAATTACAGGCTATTTAATGCCGTGGCATAAGCAACCGGTGGGTGGCTGTGATGCCAGCAATGAGCAGTGGGGGAGAGAAGTACTACACTGCAATCACCAAACTCACCTACCAAAAGAAGGGCGAAGATAATTCAGAGGAGCATGCTATAAATGAAAGGCTGAAAAAGTTAAGTTAATGAAAAGAAAAGTTAATTTACGTCTTGTAAGCTTTGTAAGAGAGGAATCAGTAATCACGGAGAAAATAAAGGCACTTGTTTGTTATAATGAATTAATGATATCACTTTGACACAATGGGATTGGATTCCTTTTTCCCCCCTCCTTGCCTACATGTTTTTGCATGAAATTATTGCAATATTATCCAAACTTGTCTGGGGGAAGGGGGTTTCCAACGTCAACACGCCTACGTTAGACTCCATTAATTATAATGATCGTAAATAGGTTTTGTAAATTTGCAAACTTAATGCAACATGTGATAAAAGTTAAGGAGACAAGTATTTTCTGACACGGGTTTTAAAAAAGTATATCGGGTCATAAATATTTTAAATATAAACATAAATACAGGTTTATATTTTTTTTTCATAATATCTTCAATCTTATACTTAATAATTATTTTTTTACAATAGCATATTGTTAACATGTCTCACGTGACTAAAATGGTTTTTTTTATAAGACTTGTACAACTCTCTCTTTATGAATTTTTTTTTAAGAGCGAATTAGGTCTTATTTTATAATATGATATAAGAATTAATATAGTTTGAAAGTTAAAATAGTTTTAAATGCTTTATCTTAAATGTGAAAAAATATGTTAAAATATCTTACATTGATTAAAAATGTTGATAAAATACTCTTTACAATTTTTTAAGTAGTTATTCACCGTCCCTTATACTGAACGTGATAAAAATAACATAACCATTCATTTTATTGATTTTTTTTAAGGATGTCAAGCAATATAGAATTTATGGCTTTAAAGATATTTAAATATGTACTCACTTAGAAAGTAATAATTTCCTTCAAGCCTTGATCTATTTGTGCCAATTCGCCTTGAGTTGTTGTGGTTGTGTTGAATAATACTATAATCAAATATGTTCGATTGAAGTTATTGAAATGTACTCATTCACGAGCTATAAAATAGAAAAACAAATTGTTCCAGGTTAACAAGTAATATAATAAATATGATGTATCTAAACTTCGGTTCAAATCAAACCAAGCAGTAATTTAATTAAAGGATTGATATTATAGTCAGGGTAAATCATCATGTCTATTTTCTTTAGTTTAAATAATTAAATCATTGTTTTAATGGAATCAACATGTATTTTATTTTAATATAAGCAATTTCATGTGTAATCTTTTTTCTTGATTTATTAACACCTAAATTTGATTCTTTAAATGTTTTGGAGAATTAGGTGAAGTTTCCGAGTGATATGTAATTGAGTTGTTTAAAACTTAATTTTGCTTCAAATTTTATAAAACTGATAATAAGATATAGATAATTAAACCAACGTAACAAAATTAGAGAGAGAAAAAAATTCCTTTTGAAAAGCTCGTTGGTGGTTAGTCACTGCTATATATTACAATATTTACTTAGATTAAACTTGATTAAGATATAACACAATGCATGTAGTGTGATTTTAAAATAAAAACATTATAATTTAAGCATTCCTTAAAAAGGTGTAATTTACCGCAATAATTAAGAAAAAAAAATTCAAGACTTACAAGCTTAAACTAATTCAGGCCACAGAGTTTTTACCCATTTTTAACTCATACTACCTAAATATCTCATGTAGTATTTGGATATTAGTCATCTTGAGCAAAAAGAATTTCGGGCCAACATCTTAAAAACAAATAAATTATTTTGAAGTCAGAAATCTAGGTTGAATCGCGTCTTTAAAATTTCACAAAATTATATACAATCATTAATTATAAAATTTTATGTGATGTATGTGAATTGAAGTTAAGAGAATCTTCCAGTATATGGAAATATATTTATGCTCAACGCCTTTTTGATGGCATACTATATTCTCACACCTTCAATTTTAACAAGGTTTATAATTTTTATTTAAATAAAGTATACAAATTTAACTTTTAGAAGGAACTTGTGCCCAATATACTACCTAATTTTTAAAAAATACTATTATTAATCTGAATATCAACTAGAACTGAAAAGCTATTAGAATTGAACTAATGACGAGGAATTTTTTTAATTTGTCATAAATTATGACAAATTAAAAATAATTAGTACCGTTATAAAAATATTAGAACTTACTATTAAAAAAAATATAAAACTTTAACTGGAACCATTGAGGGTGGCTTGCATGGGAGTAGTTGTTTTTGTTTTTTTTCCTCCAAATAAAAATAAATTGGTCACGAGGGTAGTCGTGGTGCAGCAGCTCCGCGAATCACGCAGCCATTTTGGGGAATTAACAGTCACATGGAACTGTAATTACCATTCACTTCAGCTAAGCATCGCCCACAAAAGAAACGGTAATTATCAAAGCCCAATCGTCGTGTCTCTTTGGGAAAAATGTCAACTCATCATACTCTATCAGGAGAAGTCAAATTCAGAATCAAGCCAGTAAAAAGAAAGAAACAACAAACCCTACCATGTAATTATTATTAACCGCTATTCACTCCAACACCACGTAAAATTAAAACTTCGAGTTTTTTTTTTTTTTAACCCACCTAACCTTGGATACAAGTTACAGCGTGAAAATATGAGGGAGAAAAAAGTGGCCGTTAGCGAGAGGCGTACGGCGGAACCTTGCAGGGACTAGGTGGCAGACTAGTCTTTCCGTTTGCAACAAGGCGTTGCACAAAGCTCTTGATTCTATTACCGTTAGTTTCCTGCAGTAACCGCTTGCCGCCAAACGGTAACGATTCTAAGACTCTTTCATTCAGCACCTTCTTTTCTTCCGCCTTCGTTACTTCGCCACCCAAACCGAATGCCTGCAGAATAGCACGCGCTGTCAATTCACTCCGTCACAATAACAGTTACGTTATGACAATTTCGTTAGAATTAGAGATAGTGTTTCACTTTACTTAGAACGAGGCAATTTTCACTGAATCGACTTTCATTTTCCCATTGCTCACTTTCTTGGGAACCAAACAGTATACGAAAGAAAGAGAAGAGGCAATGGTGTACCTGAATCCTGACATAGTCCGTACGGTTCCAACAGAAGGCGTTCCCTAACATCTGGTCAACAGTCTCGGAAACGCCGTCGAGAGCAATGTCAACTACCGACGACGTCGAGCATTCGCGGACGTCGTGCACTCTCTTCGCCGGCGCTCCGTTTCCGATGGAAAGCACCAGGAGATCCTCCACGCCGTTCACCGACGGGAAATCGCGTTTGTTGTGGAGGACGTGCGTGACCGCGGCGGCCGCCGGATTGTTCATCACCAAACCGCCGTCCACGGCGGAGCAATAGGTCTTGCCGTCGACGGAGGCGAAATGGAAGGGGCTGAAGAGGCCCGGCGTGGCTGACGTGGCGCGGCACGCCTTCCAAAGCTCGAAGTTGAAACTCGGTGACTCGGACGCGTCGGCTCGGGAGAACACGAATGGCGCCGAACTCTTGAGGTCAAAGCAAGGGATAAGCAGGGGCTTACACGTGTCCTTTATGGTCAACAACCGTCCTTCTTTATCTTTCCTCTGGAACACTTGCTTCAACGCCTTTTCCATGCTACTCGAGGAGAATCTCCGGTGTCGGCGAAAAACTCCGGTGTGTTTCGGATTGTAGAGTTTCCTGTTGCTCTCGGCGATGAACTGAACGGCGTCTCTGGCGGTATAGAGAGGCCTGCCGAAGCCATCGTCGGCGGTGATCATGGCGGCAAGGAGGGCGCCAATGCCGGTGCCGGCAATGATGTCAAAGTAATCAGCGATTTGAGCGTCAGGATCGGATGTTTGGACGCGGATCTGGTCCTCGAGGTGGATGAGAGCGGCGCCGGCGACAATGGCAGTGGTTCCTCCGCCGTCAATGCTGAGTATGCGGGTTTTGGTGGTGGCTTCGTAGTGTGAGAGCCATTGCTGCTCCAGTTTGGAGAAGATCTCCAGCGTGACTTTGCTAAGCTCCATTATCAAAGAAAGCAAATAAGAGGAAGAGTTTTCAGGCTTTGTTGTGGAGAAGCATTAATAACGGTTGAAGATGAAGAATGCGCCTTCTGTGCCCTCTCTCTCAGACGAGTTAAAACCACGTAGTGTTTGCCAATGGGGTAGTTATAATGCCCACACACGGACACGCTCCTTCCTCCTTGTCCTTCATTTTCTTTTTCTAACAATTTTTAAATATTCTTTTTTAATTAAAAGAAAACTTTAAGTTAATTAAAAAATAATATAATGAATTGTTGTGCGTTACTTGTTTTTCTTCTGATTATTAAATTAATAATCTGATTTCCCTCCCCCTGTTGGCACTTGCATCAGTTCAGTACACGCGGGACCCTGAGAGAGTGTTACGTACGTGGTAGAAGTGTGTCTGCACGTGCAAGTGCGCGTGTTGTTACGGTGCTGGAGGAACTGCTAATCTCGGCTTGTATTCGGCTCGGCTTTCGCTTGATTTGGGGTGGGTTCGCCTTTCATTTTTATTATAACTTAAATTATTATTTGTGTGTTTGTAGGAAGGGAATCAACGTGGAAAAGAAGAGCATAGCGTACAGAAAGCTTGAGTTAACCCTGAAACGCTGGTGTTGGTGAGACACAATCTTTCGTTCCATATTAAAACTTATCTCTGGTAACGCCACAACTGACGCTTTACAGTAAGAAAATTATAAAAGATGCAAAGCCTTGTAATAAAAAGACCACTAAACTCTAAAACAACTTTTTAACGCAGAAGCAGAAGCAGAATGGTTGAGTCCAGTTTTTTACACCTTTAGTTGGACTTGATACCACGTTATTTTATGATTGGGACTTTTGATCAAAAGTTGTTTCACTGTGGTTTATCAACTTTTAAATTTTTCATTCTGTATCTGCCCATGTATTTGCGTGTTGAGAAAAGAGAGTTTTTCAGTCTCTTCGGTCGATACTATACACAAATATGTGGGCGTAGTGTTAAGTTGAAAACATTTAAAACGTACTTCTAATATTTTGATATATAAATTTGTGCAACTTTCTTTTAAGTTACCTTTTAAAAATGAGTTATACTCAATTTTTTAAGGGACTCTTGCATTGCATTCGCAGAAAATTATAGTCCAATTTATTTAGTTAAAAATGACTGGTCACATAGCCTGCAACTTAGATGAGTGATCAGCATAAATAAAATATATTCAACCGTTTTCTTTTTCCACTTTGTTCTTTCTAAGCATAATATGTTAAATATTTTTTTGGAATTAAATATTTTGAAATACTTTCAGAATTAAATATTTTGGGAGTGTTTAGTATATTCGGAAAAATTAATTTCAAAAGTTATTTGATCACCTGAAAAATTGAAATTCCAATAAATTTTCTATATTCTCAAATTAAATTTTTAAAAGCTAAAAGAAAGAAAATACAAATAGAAAAAAGGGAATGCAAAAGAAAAATCCACAATATAATGTACCTCAACCCCAACGAAAGCAAACGTTGGAAGCTCGTGTAGGCCATATGCTAATGGGGAACAGGGTCCAAAGGGACATATAAGTATGGACCAATAGAAGCGTGAAATATAACCAACCCATTCGATCTGGTGGACTATTCTCAGAAGAGAAGCACCAAAGCTCACTTTTAGGTCCAAAAAAGCATCAAAATTGTCTTTTTTGTGTCTGAATCAAAAGCTAAATTAAAAGTATCAAAGTCACTGTCCTCTTATGGAACAAACAAAAAATGAAAGCTTCTTTTTTCAGACAATTGGGCGGGCAGGGCGGCAGCTGGGCTTCAAAGATTTCGCCTTTCTTTAGTAATATTGTTTTTACTTTTATTTATTTGTTTAAAAATATATATGTATAATAACTTTTTAAGATTAAAAATCATAAAGTATTTCAAAATTTTAAAAATTTAAGACATTTTTATTCTCAATTCATAATTACTGCTGGCCAAAGAGCATTAAAAAATATTTATTTCGACATAACCATTTACTAAATTTTCTAATTTACTCTTATGATTATATTTTTCTTTTAACTTTTAAGTTAATCAACCAGTATAAATACTTTGCACATATATTGTTTCAAATTTCTATATTAATTAAAAGAGTATTAGTAAAAAAAACAAATTATTTAAAACTTTTCCATTTATATTCAATATAAAAAAATATTTTTTAATGACAATTGTTATAATTTTTGCTGGCAATGAAAATACTCATTAAAATTTGTATTGATAATATATTATTAATCGTTGTTGTATTTGATAACAGATTTATTAATTATTATAAAAAATGTTACTAAAATTTTAATTTATTATTGCTAAAAATCTTAATTTGTAAGGACAAATATAAATGATAATTTAAATGGTCACTAAAATTAATTTTAATTTTTTTCTATTTATTTATTATTTTTTATTGGCAATGAAATTTTGAAATTATTTTTATTAGTAATTAATAATTTCTTAAATATGAATAATTTAATTAGTAAAAATTTAATAGTAATAATATTTGTAGCAGCAAATTTTTAATTAATAATATGCATGTAATTATTTTAAATAAATAATAATATATATATTTTTAAATAAATGATATATCTAATTTATTTAATAGTCAAATTTTATAAATTTTATTAATAATTAAAGTTCATATATCATAACAATGATGGTTTTGTGTGAGAAGCAAATTCAATATGAAAATTCATCTCATATTTTTAAGTATGTTATAATATAATTTTTTTAAAAGTATTGTTTGTTTATAAACAAGTAAAGAAAATAAAAAATAAAGACTTTTCAATATAAAAGAATATTAATGTAGTTTTGTTTGGACATTTTTTCTTTCTTTCAATATGTTTTCACAATTACTATACTATTAATTTTTTGCATAAAAATATATTATTATTTTAACAATTCATTACATATTTAATATTTAATTTTTTTAATTTTAAAAGGATTATGTGTAATTTTTTATACAAAAAATATTGTATAGCCACATTTTTTCATTACAAATTAAAATATTTATCAAGATTAATTATGATATAAAACTTTTGAATCTTTACCTTTTCTATTGTCTTAACTTTTTAAGAGTCGTTACAAATAATACAGAATTATTTTGATTTGCTTGATTACATTTCTATTTTTGTAATAAAAAAATGATCTAAATATTTAATAGAAAAGTTATTACCTTTACTTTATCTTAAATCCAACAAGAGACAAAACCAATTTATTGATTCCTTGGTTTAAGATTTAGTTGATTTTTCAATAAGACATCTTTTTTCTTATACATAGTCATATAAAAACTCTTCAAAACACATTTGTAATACTTTTATTCCTTTTTAAGTGATTTTTTGACAAAATTTTCATCTAGGATAAAAACTTATTCTACAAACAAATAATATATAGTTACAAGTTCATACGATGAATGATAAACATGAATCTAAGATTAAATTAACAAAAATTAAAAATAATTATTTTTTACTCTCACAAATTTCACTAACTTCATATTTTCATATTTGTCACAAAATTTTCAATCATCTATATTTAGATGTGTTAGTTATAGAATTTTAACTATAATGCCAACAAAGCTAAAACGATTTTGACTTTCTTTCTTATGGTTTAATTGTGATTAATGAATTTAACGTCAATTAATCTTTTGTAGGCTTATTTTTGAAGAACATGACATAACAGCATTTAAATGTCAGAATTGAATTTAATCAAACATCAAATTATAAAGTAATTGTTCATTACAACAATATCATTTGATTCATCATTTTTCTTAATATTAGTATTACCTAAATTATTTTGTCCAATTTAATTATTATGTTTTCAAATAGGAGAATAATTATGGACTTTTATTAACTGCTCTTGTTCCTTCCTGGGAAACAACTGTCTTTAAATCTCTGATCAGGCGTCCTTTTGTTGATTTGCTGATAAGGAGAATACCTGCAAAAGGCACTCCGATGGTAAAGTCAGGATTTGGTTCTGAGCAATAAATGTTATTTAATGATGGGAAGTCAACCCCTTACCTGTATTTCTTACCTTCTTTTTATAGACATTCTATTGGGCTAATGGGCCTGAGTCAGTTTTTATATTGAAGCCCATGGTATTTTGATTATCTTTAATTGGATTATTTACCTTTTAATCCTGACGAGGGGTACCCGGTCTAGTATGCCGAGTAGGTATTCGGTTTCTTTTTCCTGAGGGTTGAACCGAGTTGATTCCTTTCCCAGTACACTAGCCCCACAAGTCCGGCGAGTTGCGAAGCAAGGGCTTAAAAATGGAAATGGTAATATTAGAATAGGTATTCGGTTGGAGTGCTTATTACTGTACCAAGAGGGTCATTTGGTTAGGGTGAATTACAATGCATCGTGGGGGGTGTCCGGTCTCGAGTGATGGTAACGTTTGATGTATTGAGTTTTATACTGAGGAGTAATCGGTTTAGTAACAACACGATATAGGCCGAGATTATAATATAAATAATAAATTTGCGAAGGAATATTCTAGAATGTTGGTTTTGAGGATTTGTCAGAGGGTATGTGAAACAAAAGGGTGCTCCATCTCTTCCGTTGATCTGGAAGGGATCTGATGGTTCGAAACGAAAGGGCGTCTTTTCATTTGCCCGACATCAGTCCCTTATAAATATGTGGTGGTCCCTGCATCCCTTTCTTACTCTGTTGCTCTGTGCTGACCCCTGCATACCTTTGCTCCAAACCGACGAGTGTTCAGAGATCTTAGGCTTTTCTTCCCTACTGACTGCTCGTAAGGTGCGTTTCATTTTTTCTTTACTTCTTTTCTATCATGGCTGATCGTATTGAGTGGGAGGATTCCCTGTCGAATGCCTCGGGGTCGAGTACCATTGAGGTTGATATTATAAATGGAATCGAGGGGAGTGGCGAAGTTTCGTCTATTTCAAACCGGAGGATTGAAGAGGCACAGGTCGGCAAAGGTAGTAGCGAAACCGAGACGTCATCGTCAAGTGATACTGACGCTCCTGAACCCCTTCCTAGTACTAGTCCTCCTTGGGAAAGGCAGGTGTTTCCTCCTTGTACGGTGCCTGGTTATGAGTGGGTGCATGGTGAGGTGGCCGCCTACTTTTCTCGTTTCAAAAGAAATAAAAGTCTTCAATTCTTTGTAGATAATTGTGATATTTCTTTATGGGAGGCTTGTGACCCGTATCCTATACACCTTGACCCTTGTAAAGGGGACGAGGGCGAGAACCCAGATTTTGTTTTCCTGGGAGGTGTCGGAATGGCCGACACCTTCTTTATGTATGAGTACATGTTTAGGGAATTAGGTATCAGGCTACCCTTTGACGATTTCCAAATGGGGGTTTTGAGGGTATTGAATGTAGCGCCAACACAACTACACCCGAACGGGTGGGCGGCAATTCAAGCCTTTAGGATACTTTGCAAGTTTCATTATATAAAGCCTAGTGTAGGTCTTTTTCTTCATTTTTTTTGTACACGTCCATCTGACCTGGCGAGGTGGGTATCTTTAATAAGGCAACCCGAGTTGCCCTTATTTAAGCCATATGCGTCGTCTTTTAAGGGTTTCAAGACCGGTTTCTTCAAGGTAACCGTGGACCCTGTAGGTAAAAATTATTTTTTTGATAGTGAGGACAATCCTCTATTCCCTTTTCACTGGACTCGGGTGCCGCGCCGATACGACACATTCCCTGAGGATATGTTATCGGCTAGGGAGCTGTCGGATTTGCAATTCTTGAAGTCCCTTCCCTGGGACATTCCTGCCCGACATGTAGTCCTCGTCCTCAAGTCTCCGCGTCCTCGGTGGAATATGGAGGGTATGTGTTATTTCGTTTCTGACTTGTATTTGGAATTGAGCTATATTGATTTGACTTGCTATTGTTAATGCAGGTTTAATGGCTCAGCGAGGTGTGGATATGCCGACCTTCCGGCGCACTCTGAAGCAGAGAATGCCAGAGGGAACGCCCGTTGAGGAGCATCGCCATCCTCAAATTGACCAACTTCCCGAGGTGCCAGAACCTCGCCCTCCTCCTCAAGATTTTGTTCCAGTCGAAGGCCCCTCCAAGAAACGCAAGGACAAGGGCAAAGGCAAGGAGCCCGAAAGGGAAAGGAAGAGATGGCATGCCCACTCGGGTGAACCTGGCGGCGTTCAAGGGGCTCGGGGTCAAACCCGAGTGGTAGCTGCTGGGGAGGGAAGCAGTTCTTCCCTTGTAGTTCCCTTAGACATGCTGGCCGAGGGCTTCTTGGTGAACGGGACACATGCCGGTCGGCTCGCTGCTCCAAACTTGTTGTTTGATGCAGGGAAAGAACTGGTCGGCGGTCTGGACTACGAGTCACTGTGGCGCTACTACGCAGAACTTCATGTTCGGTCCACCGCAATGCTCCGAAGGCTAGTTGTGGATCCTATTCTCGAAGTTAAGAAGTTAAAGGCTGCCTATTCGGCTTCTGAAGAGGCTTTGGCCGAGAGTAGAGAGATTCAAGCCAGTCTGAACGAGACCGTTCAATCCCTGCAGGGTCAGGTTAACCAATTCAAAGAGCATTTTCAAATAATGGAGGACCGAGTACACGCAGCCGAGGAGGTGGCGAAGGTCAGGGGGGAGGAGATGGAGGCGTTAAAGGCAAAGTCCTGTCAAATGGAGGAGGCTTTACGGGCCAAATCTGCCGAGATGGAAGAAGCCTTGGCGCTGGAGAGGCAAAAGGCTGAAACCGAGATGAGGAACTTTGCCGAGAAGTGTTCTCAGCAAGTATCTTACGAGCATGAAGCCGATTTTAACCATGCTATTCGCCAGTGTCATGGGTTCTGCCAAGTACCGGTAGACTTCCATTTTGACATTACAAAGGACTTTTTTGGCGGGAGGTTCATTCCTTACACCGAGGTTGAGGACGATGTAGAACCTGACGTCGAAGTGCCGAGACGCCTCCCTGAGGATTCTGCCAACCCTGCGGCAGCCGCTCCCGAGGCAGCGGAAAGGATAGAAAGTTAAATTATTCGCCTTGTGTATTCATGGGTCATTAGTGCCCACATTTTGTAACTAGTTATTTTGAAATAGAATTTTATCCTTCTTTCTCATGCTTTGTATCTTGTCACACAACTTGCACTAATATAGGATATGCTTAATATACTCATCCTTAGCTGAATAAGGGACGAGGGAGATGATTTCGTCTTAAAAATTCAGCCTTAACCAAATGATAACTAAGAGGAACTCGTAATTCGTTAATTTTGACCGAGTGGGAGTATTCGGGATTGAGATATTTCGACCTTTAGCCAAGAGACGCTTGGAAGAAAAATGATAATTCATCCTTGACCGAGTGGGGGTACTCGGAAGGGAGATATAATTGTTTCATCTTTGACCGAGTGGGGGTACTCGGGAGGGAAATAATTTAACCTTGACCAAGTGAAACTTGGAAGAGAAATATAATTGTTTCATCCTTGACCGAGTGGGGGTACACGGGAGGGAAATAATTCAACCTTGGCCAAGTGAAACTTGGGAGGGAAATATAATTGTTTCATCCTTGACCGAGTGGGAGTACACGGGAGGGAAATATAGTTGTTTCATCCTTGACCGAGTGGGGGTACTCGGGAGGGAAATAATTCAACCTTAGCCAAGTGAAACTTGGGGGGGAAATATAATTGTTTCATCCTTGACCGAGTGGGGGTACTCAGGAGGGAAATAATTCAACCTTGACCAAGTGAAACTTGGGGGGAATGGTGCTTGAAAGATGTTTAGTGCATAAAAACTGTATAGGTGAAGAAAGAAAAAATTTATTGATTAGGTGCCTCGTTAAAAACCTTCTCAGGAAAACCCCTTTTCACTTTCTTTGAAGAGGATAAAACCTGGGATAGGAAAAGAGTACACCTGTGCACGTATTACAAGGTTTTAGCTATAATAATACTTTAAATGAGTGACATTCCAGGTTCTCGGTATTAATTTTCCTGCCAAGGTTTCCAACTTGTATGCTCCGTTATTTAATCTTGCCGTGACCCGAAAGGGGCCTTCCCAGTTAGCTGCCAACTTCCCTTCTTGTCGATCCTTGCGCGCGTCCCCGGTTACTCGCCATACCAGATCGTTTTTGTAGAATTTTCGTGGACTGATTTTGGAGTTGAATTTTCTAGCCATCATTCTTTTACTAGCCTCGGTCACAATGGCAGCGTGGTCACGTATTTCATCTATTAAGTCCAGGTTGACGGCCAGAGCCTCTTCAATGGCCGATTCTTTGAAATTCTCTCTCCTGAATGAGGGCTCTCCAATTTCTACCGGCACCATGACATCAGTACCATAGGTAAGCCGAAAGGGGGTTTCTTTTGTTGTGGTTTGCGGCGTGCACCAATAGGCCCATAATATCTCAGGCAGCTTCTCTGCCCACTCTCCCTTTGCCGAACCCAACCTCCTTTTTAATTCATGTAAGATTACTTTGTTTGCAGCCTCGGCTTGGCCATTCGTCTGTGGATGTTCAACAGATGTAACTCGGTGTTTGATATGCAGGCCTGCCAAGAACTCGTTGAATCGATGATTTGCAAACTGAAGCCCATTATCTGTAATCAGTGCATGAGGGAGACCGAACCGTGTTATGATATTTTTTCAAGTGAATTTTTGTACGTTGTGGGTCGTGATCGATGCTAGGGGTTCAACCTCAATCCATTTGGTAAAGTAGTCTACGGCAACGAGGAGGAATTTACATTGCCCTTTTGCTAAGGGAAAAGGACCGAGAAGGTCCATTCCCCAAATAGCAAAGGGCCAAGGAGAGCTAATGTGCCGAAGGGTATCGGCGTGTTGGCGCAGGTGAGGGCCGTGTTGTTGACAGGGAATGCATCTTTTTACAAACAACTGACAGTCTTGAGTTATTGTTGGCCAGTAGTATCCAGCTCTGAGCACTTTGGCTGCCATAGTTCGTCCGCCCGAATGGGTTCCACAAATACCTTCATGGATTTCTCTCATCACGTATTTAGCTTGATCGTCTTCTAGGCATTTAAGCATGGGGATGGAAATTCCTCTTCGATACAATTCTTTGCCGAGAAGAAGGTATTTGGCTGCATGTGCTTTAATTTTCTTAGCTGCTGCTGCGTCCTATGGGAGACTGCCATTAGTGAGGTATCGGACGAGAGGGGTCATCCAATTATGAGATGAATTTTCTATGTCCATGCATTCTTCTTTGGTGACACTAGGTTGGGGGATTTGTTGGTGAACCATGCTCTACAGCTGCCCTGGTTTCTGTTGGCTTGCCAGCCTAGCTAGCCTGTCGGCTCGTGCGTTCATATTTCGGGGTGTGTACCGAATACATACCTCCTCAAACTCGGCTTTTATTTTCTTAACCTCCTGGTAATATTTAAGCATGACCGAGTCCCTGATCTGATAGGTATCGTTAACTTGTTCGGTTACGATTTTTGAATCGCTCCAAGCAGTAATGCGTTTAACCCCCATTTCCCTTGCTAGCCTGAGACCGGCGAGTAAAGCTTCATATTCGGCTTGATTGTTGGATGCCTTAAATCCGAACTGGATAGACTGTTCAATGGCGAACGCATTCGGTCCTTCAAGAATGACCCCCGCTCCACTGCCTGTTTGATTTGATGACCCATCAACGTGCAGATTCCACATGTCTGAAATGGTATTATGTTATGTAGTAAACTCGTTGATGAAGTCGGCTAACAGCTGGGCTTTAAGGAGGCGTCGGTTCTCGAAATGGATGTCATATTGAGATAATTCAATTGTCCATGCCACCAACCGACCAGCCAATTCTGGTTTCCTCAAAATTTTGGCCATCGGACAATCTGTACGTACTACTATTCGATGGCTCTGAAAGTAGTGTCTTAACCGACGAGTTGTGTGGACTAAGGCAAGTACCACTTTCTCCATTAACTGGTACCGAGATTCAGGACCTTGAAGTGTCCTGCTAACAAAATATACGGGGTTCGGTTCGGGTGTTTCTTGAAGTAAAACCGAACTGACAGCGTGATTGGGCACGGCCAAATAAACAATCATTTCCTGATTTGGTGTTGGTTTAATCAACACAGGCGGTGCTGCCAGCACATGCTTGTATTGTACAAAAGCGTCCTCACATTCATTGGACCACGCAAATTTTTGCGATTTCTTCAACAATTCAATGAAAGGCCGAGACCTTTCTGCCATTACTGGCAAGAATCTAGCCAGGGCTGCAATCCGCCCGGTCAGTCGTTGCACGTCCTTGACATTGCGAGGGCTGGCCATGTCGATGATGGCTTTACATTTGTTGGGATTTGCCTCAATCCCCCTTTCGGACAACATGAAGCCCAAGAATTTACCGACAGCTACACCAAATGTACATATTTCAGGATTGAACCTCATACCATGTTTTCTGGCTTCTCCGAATACCTCCTCTAAGTGGTCAAGATGTTGCTTCAATGCAAGGGATTTAATTACCATGTCGTCTACATACACCTCCATGCATTTACCCACTTGTTTTTCAAAAATTTTGTTCATGAGTCGCTGGTATGTTGCTCCTGCGTTCTTCAAACCAAACGGCATCACCCGATAACAAAAATTTGCAGAATTTGTGATGAATGCTGTTTTTTCCTCATCCGGGGGGTACATTCGTATTTGATTATACCCAGAATAAGCATCCAAAAAGCTCAGTATTTTGTGACTCGCAGCACCATCGACCAAGGTGTCAATGTTTGGTAGGGGGTATACATCCTTTGGGCATGCTTTATTGAGGTCTGTGAAGTCCGTGCACATTCGCCATTTGCCATTGGCTTTTTTGACCATGACAATGTTGGCTAACCATGTTGAATACCTGACCTCTCAGATGAAGCCAGCCTGTATTAGTTTGCTGGTTTCTTCTCTTACCGCTTTTGCTCTATCACCACCAATTTTTCTCCTCTTTTGAGCTACCGGCTTGGCTCTTTTATAGACCGATAAGTGGTGACATAGAAATGCTGGATCAATGCCAGGCATATCCGAGGCTGTCCAAGCAAATAAATCGGCATTATCTACTAGCATCTTTTGGAGAACGACTTTCTCTTGTTCGTTCAAACCGATCCCTAAATACGCAACTTGTTCTGGCTTTGCTCCTAGTTGGAAAGATTGTTTGTTTTCATTGGGCTCGACTTGATATTCCTCATCCACTCTAGGATCGAGTTCAACATCCAACTCTTCTTCCAACCGAGGGGATACAATATTGACATCCCGGGTATTCCCCTGAAAAGGCTTAAGGCGTAAACTTGCGAAGTAACATTCCCTGACTGTTTTTTTATCGGCATGGACGGTAACAATTCGGCCTCCTTCAGACGGAAATTTCATGGCCAAGTGCGGAGTGGAAACTACGGCCTTCAATTTGTTCAGGGATGGTCTACCGAGTAGTATATTATAAGATGTGTTCGTGTGTACTACAAGATAAGTGACTCTTATGCGTTTGCCCTCATGCTCTGATCCAAACGAGGTATACAAGTCGATACACCCCTTGGTCTCTACTCGTTCCCCAGAAAAACCGACCAATGGCTCATGATATTCCTTGAGTTCTTGTTCTGAGATGCCTAATTGCTTGAATGTATTCCAGTATAGGATATCAGCCGAGCTCCCTTGGTCAATTAGCGTTTTTCGAACAGTGCAGTTAAGAATGTCTACACGAATTACCATGGGATCATCCTGTACCGGATCGACTCCCTGAAAGTCATCGTCAGTGAACGTAATAGGCGAGATCCGGATTTTGCTGCCCAATGAAACATTATTAACAGAACAGACATGCCGAAGATGCCTCTTTCTAGCCGAATGGGTAGGTCCTCCACCAGCGAACCCTTCGGCTATGGTGTTAATGATCCTTTTCGGATACTTATCTTGTTCAAATCTTCTAGGTGGGGGCTCCCTGGACCTGCTCCTGTGTCGTTCAAATTTTTTGTCGTCGGATCTCTTTGGTGAATCAGGGTGGCGGTCTCTTCCTTTGTTGGGTTGCCTTATGGGATCTATCTGTACGAAATTTTTCAGGTGTCCACCTTTAATCAATTCTTCAATTTTGTCTCTTAGCGCCGTACACTCCTCGGTAGTGTGACCCCTGTTCTGATGGTATCGGCAAGACTTACTTTTATCTGCCCGAGGAGGAGTGTTAGTGCGTCTAGGCATTTTCAATATTTCTGTGGCCAACGCTTGATCAAGTATTCTGGACTGATTAGAGTTGAGCGTCGTGTAGGAAGGATACTTCGGTCCTCGAAGTGGTCGCTCAAGTTCTTTTCCTCTGTCGTTCCCCCGCCTTGTTTTAAAGGTCTCCCTTCTTTCTTCATTTTTTGAGTTAGAGCCTTGCTCCATCCGTACCTGGCTCCGGTATTCAGATAGTTCTTCCATTTGCATATATTTCGCAGCCTGGCTCCTTAACTCATCTAGGTCGATCGGGGGTTTTTTGTAGAGGCTATTAACGAAGGGTCCCGGCTTCAACGCTGTTGTTAGGTGGTGCATAGCCACTGCTGATTCCAAGTTATGAATTGAAAGAGTCACTTTGCCAAAGCGTTCCATGAACGCTCTAAGTGATTCTCCTTTCTCTTGGCGAATATTGACTAGGGCCAAGGATGTCAGTGGATGGGGCCGGCTTGTGGCGAACTGCAAGTTGAAACGTCTTGTGAGAGTTACGAATGAGTCGATGGAGATGGGGGGAGTCGGGTGAACCAACTAAGCGCAGGTCCTCGAAGTGAAGTAGGAAAGATTCTGCACCATAAGGCATCGTTTTCTGTGTACAGACCGACCTGCGTTGTAAAGATGTCCACATGTTCTCCGGAGTCGGATGTGCCATCGTATTTGTCTATTGCCAACCCTCTCTAATTATCGGGCAGCTTAGCTTCTAGAATGTGATGAATGAACGGGCTCCGGTTCACAAGTTCGTCTCGGTCGTTTCCGGTTACCGATTCATATACCTGTCTTGATTTTTCTTGCAGCGCTGATGATTCTCCTTGATCTTGGACGACGGGAGTAGTAAGGGAGGGGACATGTGTCCTTATTTCTTCCCTTAGGCCGGCATTTTCCCTTCTTAGGGCTGAGAGTTCCAGTGCATCTCTTTCGCGATCCTTCTTCATCTCCACCATTTCTGCCCTTAGCTGCCTCAGTACAACTAGAATGCTTTCTTCCGTTCCTCCCTGTATCACCACTTCCGGTACTGGTTCCTCTGGCGTGACGCCCTCCATTTGTTGCCTAGAAGTTCCTTCCTGCTGGCTTCTCGTCATTACCATGCTTAATCCTGAGTGATGAAGCTAATCAGGCCCCACGGTGGGCGCCAAAATATTCCTTCCTGGGAAACAACTGTCTTCAAACCTCTGATCAGGCGTCCTTCTGTTGATTTGCTGATAAGGAGAATACCTGCAAAAGGCACTCCGATGGTAAAGTCAGGATTCGGTTCTGAGCAATAAATGTTATTTAATGATGGGAAGTCAACCCCTTACCTGTATTTCTTACCTTCTTTTTTATAGACATTCTATTGGGCTAATGGGCCTGAGTCAGTTTTTATATTGAGGCCCATGGTATTTTGATTATCTTTAATTAGATTATTTACCTTTTAATCCTGACGAGGGGTACCCGGTCTAGTATGCCGAATAGGTATTCGGTTTCTTTTTTCTCAGGGTGGAACCAAGTTGATTCCTTTCCCAGTACAGCTCTTTATAAGTTCACACATATTCATTATGGTATTTTTCTTTGACAAACCCAAGGCTACTTTTTTTAACCATTATGAAAAAAAATTCTGCAATATCATGTAACATTAGTATAAAGATCATAATGTACTTAGATTAAAAATGACTAAGAAATATATGCATTTTATACTTAATCCAACTACCAACTTTTGATACAACAAATTATAATTAAGAAAATTTCCCCTCACTTTACTCATTTTACCAATAGTAAATTTTATATTTTTATTTATGTTTTTAACTTGACGGAAAACCATTAACGCCAGTAATAGACAAAGTGGTCTTAATTCTTTCATTTCATCAAAATACTTTAATCATTTTTTATAGTTATGCTCAAACTTTGAGAAACGTCAATGTTCCATAAAATAATATCCTCATCGTGTTCATAAAGCACCATAAGAAGCAAAATTATTTATAGCCTACATGAGAGTTGCTCGTATTTAAAATTTTTTTTTAGTAAAGACATTAGAGATTTTTACTTCCAAATTCCATAATCTATTAAAGTCTTCTATCATATGTTCCAAAAACACATCAATATTATTCACAAGTTCTTTTGGTCCAAATACGAGTAAGGATAGAATAATATATATATATATATATATATATATATATATATATATATATATATATATTGCGTTGTAACAAATAATTTAAAGTCATTATTAGAAAATCATAGACAAATACTGTGAAGATTTGTAGCAAAATCTAAGTAATAATTGTCAAAAGCTTTTCAAGCTTTAAAATCTATAAAATGCTATAAGACTTCACCTTTATTATTTTTTTCATCTTGCCATCTCATCAATTTAAAAATTGTTGGAGACATGAACAATTTTTTAACATTGATTTTGAAAAAAAAAATATAAGAACCTTGACAAAAATAATTATCATTAAAAATTATTTTTATTGTAGTGTTCTGTTTTAAAGAATACATGTCTATGTATATATTAAATATATATT